AGAGCAATGGCCCTTTCTCTTTGCTCAGGTACTGGGCTTGAGGGCTCAGCTTGGAATGAACTAGAAAGCCCTAGGGGAGGTTGGGGATATAGCTCAGGGATAGAACAGCATTCATATGTGAGGCCCTGAATTCAGTCCCCATTGAAGGGCCCTGCCTTGTAACCCAGAACTCCAACTAGGAATGCTTTGTGTCATTCATCAAAACTAGTTACTCAGCCCTGCCCAATCTCGGATCTGCCAGGAGAGGATTTACTGAACAACACCAAAGACAGTTCACAGTGCTAGCCAGAAGTCCCACTACAGAACAGAACAGGACCAACACCTTGACAGAGACATCTGGAGGACCATAGTTCACCAAAGGAAGTGGTGGTGCAAACTGAATTACAACCCCAAATGCCCTCAACACCTCACCTCTGCACACGTTCAACTCCCACCCTAGAATGGAGGCAACTTCAAGAATAAAACTGGTACCCACCTGCCCTTAGCTTTTCCTGTGCCCAAGTGGAAATTCTGGGAGTGGTTTTGTTTATGGAGTTGGCTCTGCTATCCAGGAGCAGATAAGAATTACTCATTGACAGTTAGCACTTAGAAGCTCAGCCCCTAGGCAGGAATTTGCTCGGTATTAAAGAAAACACACCCTGTGCTCTTCCGCTCTTAACATTTGATCAGTGTAGATGCTAATTACAGAAGCTTATGTACAAGGCCTGGAGAAGAGCCAGCCTGATGCTTCAGTCATCCAACCAATATCTAGCAAATCCGTTTAACATTGTGCTAGGCTGGGAGCTCAGGCACCCAGGTCAGGATACTAGATTTTAAATCCAATCTACTACTGCCATTGAGTCACTGTAGGTGAGTTTACTTAATCTTTCTGTGCCTCAATTTCCTCATTTATAAAATGGGGATGTAATAGTAATAATCTTAGGTTGAAAACTTAAATTGGATAAAGAGCTCTGTATGTTAGTTATCAATAGAAAGTAGAAATTTCAGATTCTCATCTAAAACTGTGTTTCTGACTAAAGGTAGACTAGCTTCTATCAGACCAGTGCACCACTGAGTATACTTTACAAAGCCAGGTTGAGCATTTAAGGAATCTGCCTCAGGGATGAGAATGTGGTTCAGTGGTAGAGCAGTTGCCTAGCATATGAGGCCCAGGCTTTGATCCCTAGTACAAAGAAGAGAAAAAAGCTATTTTCTGGTGTTTTGTCTTGTTTTTTTAATTGTTTATTGGTACAATTGAGATGTACATAATGATTATATTCATCATAAGGAATTTGTACCTGTACCTTGATTTATTTTCCAGTTTGTAAGAGAAAATGGAAGCCAGGTATGCTCATGCCTATAATCCTGGCACTTGAGAGGCTGAGGCAGGAGGATCACTGTGAATTTAAGGCCAGCCTAGACTACATAGTGACTTCAAGATCAGCCTGAATTACAAAGTGAGAACCTGTCTGAGAGAGAGAGAGAGAGAGAGAATGGGATTAATAAGGTAAAATTGGAATTAGGGATTTACAAAGTGGAGAGGTCCTGTTGAACACCTCCAGCTTCTATTCTCAGTTTTTTACCATACTGGGCATCAAACCAGGATCTTGAACATGCTAGGCAAATGTTCTACCCTGAGGTACACCCCAGGCCCTCTTTAAGGGTTTAGTTGGGTGCCCAAAGGGCTACACTCTGTGAGTAATAGCCTCAAAAACACTGGAACCAAGTTTCTTATCAGTGCAATACCAAACTAGACTGAAATGACTGTCCCTTCTTTAGCTGCCTGTGAGAAGCTTCCTCTCTGAAGGAAAACAACATCATCTAGCATAGAGCTTTAAATTGTATCTATAATTTCTCATGCATGACATTGGACATTCAGCACTAGGTGAATGTGCAGCCTAGCATGTGCAAGCTCCTGAGTCCAAGTCCCAGCCCTGCAAAAATAAACAAATAATGTGGATGCTGAAGGTGTAACTCAGTGGTACAACATGTGTGAGGCCCTGGGTTTGAAGCCCAGCACAGAAACAAAAATAAATGTGTCCCATTAATATACGATCAAATGACCAAAAGCCAGGCTGGAGATTTAGCTTAGTGGCATAAGTGCCTGCCTGGCAACCATGAGGTTGTGAGTTTGATCCCCTATACCAAAAAAAAAAAAAAAAAAACAACTAATGACCAAAAGCCAAGAACCATAAAAATAGTCAAGAAAAACAAACTCAAGGGAGATCCAGATGTTGAAATTTTCAGGTATAAATATTAAAAGTTTACTGTTTTCAAGAAATAGGAAAGAGGGAGTCTTTCAATAGAAAATAGGAATCTATGAAAAATAATTGATGGAAAGTTTAGAGCTGAAAAGTTATAGCTGAGACATAGCTCAGTGGCTCAAGTGTCTGCCTGGAAGTACAAGGTCCTGAGTTTGATTGCCAATAACAAAAGAAAAGAAAAGTTATAACTAAGGTTAAGAAGTAGGAAAGGCACATGTTAACAGATCGGCTAACTCAGTAGAAAAATATCCAGACTGAAACAGAAAGGAAAAAAGTGTGGAAAATACAAAATAGTATTTAAAAGACATGTGAGACAACATAGAACAATTAAACATATGTGCGGTTACAGTGTGAGAAGGACAGGGAATGTAGGAAAAAAAAGAATGGCATACATTTATCCAAAACTGGAGGTAGACATCAAGCCACACCATGTAGAAGCATCAGTAACCCCAAGAAGGATAAACACAAAGAAAAACATGCCAAGTACATTGTAGTCAAACTGAAATCCAAAGGCACAGAGGTTTCCCTGTAAGAGAAAAGAAATGAGATCCTTGGATCCTCTGGCCACCCAGGAGTTCCTTAATCTTTCATCCGCTGTCAGTTTTCAAGTGTGGTGTGAAGTGGGATGAAGGGTCAGACTCCAGCACACACACGCCACCAGGGGCTCCCTCAGTCAACCTCAGAAGACTTCCCCACAGGAAGGAAGACTCTGCCTTTGCAGAAGTTACGTCTGGTATTGATAAGTGAGGGGGAAAGAAATCAGAATAGGAAGACCTAGAAATCTCACGGGCCGTTCTTCCCGAGGAGCAAACCCTTCTCTGTAGAATGAGGCAACATTCACCTGTGCACACCAAGCGCCAGATCACCTCCTCTGACTCCAGCCTCACGCTGGCTTTTTTTTTTCCTTTCTCTCAGTGCAACCACCAGAGGAACCCCTACCCACTTCCTTCAGAGTCTCAGTTTTTTCAGACATAAAATGTTATTCAAGCAGTTATAGGAATTCAATGATATCATAAATGTAAATGTGCCCTGCAAACTGCATGCTGCTGTACTTACCTAGTTATTATTGCTCCCTGGCAGAACCGTCAGCAATAGGTTAAAGAGAGAAGATGGTTTGTGTACATGCAGAGCTTCCTGAGGAATCTAGCCTGTGGGTGCCCTCAAGGGTCAACATGTGCTGTCTTGGCCAGGATTTGGGGGTTTCTGATTTCATGCCAGCTTGGTGTAGAGTGAGTCCAAGTAGAACTGCCACCTCTCAGCATGGTGCCAGGAGAGGCATCATGATCTGGAAACCTAGAAGTGGCTGGGGGCCTCTGAGCTGCTCGGACCAAGCTGACTCTAACCTGCATCCAGGGCCAGGGTAATAGCTCAGTTCAGTAGCACAACGCCTGCCTGGCAAGTCACGAGTTCCATTCCTGGTACAAAAAAAAAAAAAAAAAAAGCAGAGTAAAGTATGTGAACTGTGTTTTTCTGCTGCTAGCTATCATTTTCACTCACCAAGTCTTCAAGCTTTTTCCAACCCAAAAGTGTGCAAGTTTTGGGTAGCACAAAAGCTAAAATCTGATACTTGAAGAACAGACTGACTCTTCTGTTTCCAACATGACCAACGTCTCAGATCTGAGATTGCATGAGTCTCTTCTCTGTCAACCATCACACAAGAACATAGTTAACATTTATTAAATTGTCACTGCTCGAAGCACTTTATTTCACTGAAAGCAATGAACTACCCCTCTAGGAAGCTAGTTCTGTTACTGGCTCTGCATCACAAAACAACACTGAGCCCAGAGCACTAGGCCAGCTAGTCCTCTCTGCCTGCTCTTCATCCTGCACACTGCATCCCACCCGTGCCGCCTTCTCACTGCTCCCTCTCCACAGGGCCCTCTCTGACACTGTCTCACAATTCTCTCACAGCTCACAGCTATGCTCTCGCCCTTCCCAAGCCTTGGTACCAGTGACTCCGTGTTATAGAACAGAAGTCTCAAATAGAAGTCCTAAGTCCCTAGACTCTGTTTATATTACCCTTGCTTCTGTATGCATAACCAGAATTCTGGCATTCAGTGATTTAGCTTGTGAATCCAGATCCAGCTGTGGGATCCCAGATGGTTGAAGGCTTGTAGGGCCAGAATAAAATAGAGCGCCCGGAATAGGAAGAGCCCAGGGGCCCAGCCCTTGTAGGAACTTCTCCCCTCTCCCTGCTCCCCTGGACATGTGAATCTTCAGAGCATTTTGCGCTCATGTAACTACTCACACCAGAACCTTATCTACTTAATGTTTAGAAAAATTAATGTCACTGCCCTGCTTACCAGAGCCTAGTGTGGGTTTTTTGTCTGAAGGAGGAGGGACCATGCCAGAGAACTGTCAGGCTGCTTCCTTCCATGTGGGGTCCTGGAGTTGTCTAAAATCCAAGGGCTGCCACCTGCCCTCTAATTAGGTCTACTGAGCATGATGATGATGATGATGATGATGATGATGATATTTAATCAGCTCCCTGCTGAGTACTTTACAGCTATTCCCTCTCTTATTTAACGGTGAGGCTTCCTGGTGGATAACTAGAGGAGGTGGGAAAGGACCAGGCCCTAGGTGTAAGAACTGACTTTGCAGAATTTGTAAAAGGAGTGGGTTGTGCCCAGAGGCTGAGGCAGAGAGCTGCTCTGGATGACCTTTCCACTCCCAGACATTGAATGTAGCCCCCAACCAAGTTGGGGTTGGGACTGAGGCGCCCTATTCATCCACCCTCTTTCTGTGTGCCCGCAGGACCAGGAGAGTTGGCCCTTGATCTCGGCTGCTGATGCGTGCCCCGGGCGCGCAGACCCATGTCCACAAAGAAGAGCAGGGAGCGCCGGACAGCGGCCGGGGAACTCAGCGCAGGCTGCCTGGCCTGCCGTCGCCTGCGCTGTGCTGCGCTTGCGGTCTGTGCGTGCTGCTGGCTGGCGTGAATGTGACGCTGGTGGGTGCCTTCGCCTCCTTCCTGCCTGGGCACAACGCACCGCTGGTCGTGGGGCCTGCGCTGCTGGTGCTGGCGCTCGGCTTCTTCCTGGCCTGCTGCGTGTGTGGCCGCCGGGCCCCCGCGCCCCGAGCGAGAACCGTGGGGATGGCCCGCCCGGGCCAGGGCGGCGCACGCGCCGGTCCGGTGGCGCTGGAGCTGGAGAGCAGCGAGCGCACTGCACAGGACACCACGGCGGTGCAGCTCAGCTCCGCCGCCTCCGCAGCGTCCTCGGGCCCGTCCAGCCCCGGCCTCTTCGCCCTGGACGTGCCCGCACCCGCAGCAGTCTGTGTGCCGCGCCATGAAGGGGTCCCGGGAGCGGCTGTCTGCTAGCGGGCAGGACCCCGGCCTGACTCCCCTGTCCCGGCTCTCTCCGTCAAGTGCCATTGAAAGCGCTGGCTCTGGGCATGGTGGCTGGCCTCAGTTGTCCCAGCTACAGAAGTGGAGAATGTGATATCGGTGTAGACGCTCATACCCCAAAGAAGGTAGCTGAAGGGCCCAGGGTTTAGCTTAGCGGAGTAAGCTGCTGCCTTGGCAAGCGCGAGGTCATGAGTTCAATTCCTGGTACCAAAAAAAAAAAAAAGGAGCCGAACCTGCCCTGTTCCACCTCAACCTCAGCCTTGATGAAACTGGACCTTGACCCTCTGCTCTCCCATGGCATGTGAGCCCTGTGGAGGAAGAGGACTGGCTGCCAGCCAGGCTTTTAGGGTCAAGAGGAGGAGAATTTCCAGGCTTCTATCAGTCCCCCCCAACCCCACCTCCACCGGACCCAATCCCATCTCTGTCTCAACATGGCCTTTGGGATTTTTCTGGGGAGGAAGGGTTCTGACTTCAGGATGGTCCCTTCAGGAAGAAGTTGTTTCCTTTTTTTTTTTTTTTAAGTAATTTTTTTTTGGGGGGGGGTCTTTTTGAGACAGGGTCTTACCACGCAGTTCAGCCTGACCTTGGGCTCACTTTTGTAGCCCAGGCTGGTCTCAAACTTGCAACGATCTGCCTGCCTCAGCCTCCGAGTGCTGGGATTACAGAAGTGTGCCGCCATACCACACCACACCCAGATAAGAGGTCGATTCTTGTCTGACCTGGGCCCTCAGTGGCAAGGTGGCTTCTCCAGCCTACTGTCACCTTGGCTGCTAGCAATGCCAGCCACCAACCAGGACTGCACCTCCCTCCTGAATAAAGCACCTCCTGAATAAAGTAGGCTGGAGGGACAGGTTGTAGGACCTCTGGCTGAGCACCCTAATTCTGGGGTCCTGTCAGCCTATGACTAAGCACTTTCGCATCCTAGTACCAGTCCTTGTTGGAGCTCCAGAAGGGGCCTCCAAGGAGAGGAGTGGGGGACTGTGAAGGGAAAATGTCTCTGAGACTGTGTATGCCTGTAGATGTCTGTGAGAACAGGTGTGTCAGAAGAGAGCTGGGAAAATGTAGGCGTGTGACCATGGGTGCAGTTGCCTAGCTGTAGCTCCTTTAAGAGCCACAGCTGTAGCAATGGCAGTGTTTGGGTGACTGTCAACATCGCACACAGGTATGGGAAGTGTAAGGAGGGGTGGTAGTTGAGATAGATATCACCACCCAGAGCAGGGACGGTGAGGGGAGAGCTTGCCCCCATACGTACATACACTGTAAAGCCCAGGCTTGCAGAGCTTGCAGAGGTGGGGTTTGTCCAGCAGTTGACAGCATCTGGGAGAGGAATGGGAGCTGCCTCAGAAGAAGAAGCAGAGGACCGAAGGAATATTCTGACTTTGAACTAGTTCCTCCTCTTCCTGCAGAGACCACGGCAAGTGGCAACATTGGCACATGCTGGCCCACCATGAAGTGGGGGGCTGTGACTCCCTGCCCACCCTCCTTGGCTTCATGGGCTTCTGTTTCTCATTTCAAGATGGGCTCTGCTACTCTTTTGCCATGGCCCAAACACTCGCAAGATCCCTAGGGCTCTGTCTTCCTTCCTCCACCTCCATCTCTGTCCTCTCCTGCTGGCTTTCTTTTCTACTGAAGATATTCATGTGGTCTCCTCAAAGAGAGCAAATCTGCCAGTAGATGCCCGGCAGTTCATCTCCAGTGGCTCACATGGGTCAATGGACCCTAAAGCACTTGAAGCACTCTGCCTCTGGAGCTGACAATCTCTGTTCAGAGCGCCACTTCACCTTGACCTCCAGTGTCTGCCCCTCTCCTCCTGTAGCTTAACTAGATTGGTGCATGTAAGCATGCATGCATGTGTATGAGTGTAAGGTCACGTCCTCGGGCTCATCTGTTCTCCTCATTCATTGGTCTGCAGCCTCAGACACCTGCTGCCTTGGTAGAGCAGATGTGAAAGGGCCCACTGTGGATGCTGCCTTGGGGTATGGCTGGACCGCCTTTTCCCTCCAGCTTCTTACAAGGAAACACCTACATTCAACCTGCAATGCTAGACCTAGTCCAAGGCCTTCTTCCACCTGCTAGCAGATCCCAGAAATTGCACTCTCAGAGCCCCCACCCCACCCACTCCCCACCTCCACCCCTGCTCAGAACTTGCTGTGGGAGCAGCTGTTAGGGGGTGGGGGAGTGAGTTCAGGGCTGTGGGCCATAGCGCAGTGGTGTGAGTACAGTGGGACAGAATAGTGTAGAGAAGGGATCACTGGTTCCCTAGAGTCCCTTCAGCTGCCAGCTCAGGATGAAGAATGTCACTGGTCTCAAATGTGCTCCTCAGGCATACTCAATGTGCAGGGCCCACTTCCCAGTCAGCACTGGCAGAGCAACCTGCACATCATTTCTCTGGGGCTACCACAGGGCACTCTCCTCCTCTCTTCTCGCATTATTTCCTCAGTGAGAGCTGAGGGCCAAGGCTCTTCAGGAAGTACAAGCGGGGAGCCCCTGCAGCAGCCCACTCCCTTACACAGTGGGACTGGAGGACATGCCCTGCCCCTCCCTGCTGCAGTCCTCTCCCCAGGCAAGTGCCATGCAGGCCATGAGGGAGCCCTGTTTCTGCTAAAGGTGAAGACAGAGTCCTGGCAGCACCAGGGCATCAACTCCCTGACCTTGAGAAATCTGAGCAGGGCTTGGTGAGTCCTGCTGGGAGATTGCAGAGGGCCTTTGATAAGGGCTAAGCCTGGCACTGGAGTCTGAAAACCAAAGCATCAAGGACTGCTCTCAGAGGTCCAGAGGCTGCAATGGAGGGCAGAGTGTTTCCCTAGGGTCTGGAGAGGTCCTGGCCTGCACATTAGAGACCAGTAAGGGGGAAGGAATTGGGTTTTTTCCCTCTCTTTCCACTAGAAGAAATGAGGGCATTCACTCAGAATCAGGTTTTACTAATTAATTCAATAAATAATTCCTGAGCCCTGTGGCTGGTTCCGAGAATACAGTGTGAACACACTCTATGGAGGTCATATTCTACTTGGGGGAAAACAGTAAAGAATTAAGTGAGCAAACAAGATCAAAAGACAGCTAGCTAGTGAAAGGTACTGTGTAGCAAATTGCAATAGGAAGGTGTGGCAAAGGGACTTTCAGGCAGATCTGCTCTGAGAGGCAGCATTTAAGTTGAATCTAAATGATGGGTCAGCCATGCAAGGGTCTTCAACAGCAAGAATATTTCAAGCCAGTGAAAAAGCCCCAAGGTGAGCAAGAACTTGGCCTCCATATGTCAGAATAAGAAAGCAGGGCTGTAGAGAGCAGTTAGGGGACCAAACTATAGAGGTGAAGAAAAGGATATGGCCCAGCTCATGGTAACTTTAGTCAACTAGGACGAGAGGTTTAGATTTTGATTCTTGGTGAGTGGGAGCCAGTGGAGGTTTTAAGCAGGGAAGTGACATGACCTGATTTATGATTGTAAAAATCATTCTGCTTGCTGTGTGGAAAATAGAGTGTCAAGGGGAAAGAGAGGAAATGGGATGGGTTAGGAGATTACAACAGAGATCTGTGCCCTGTGGGGACTGGGACTGAGTGGTCACTGGGGAGTGGACAGAGCGTGCACCTGTTTCTGAGGCAGATTGGACAGGTCACCCTGCCAGATCTCCTAGGGAAGAGAAAGAAATGTAGGAGGAATGCCAGAATTTCGGTTTGAGCCTTGGGTGTATGGTGGAGGACCAACATTTAGAGGAAATTCAAGAGTCATGACCTGTTAGCCCAGGAGCACTGCCATGGAGAAACTGGAGCCATAGTCTGAGTTCTAGTAAGCAGAACCCTGGTATGTGGCTGGTGGCTAAGCCATGAGTCCAGATGAGTCACATGAGAAGAGGAAAAGGTAGGGAGCCCAGAGCCTAGAGAGGTCCAACCTTTGAGTTAGGCAGAAGGGACCCTTAGTTGGTCAGTTTGGAATCTCTCCTAACCATCTGACAGCAGAACCTCTCTGATGAGGGCTATAGACTAGAAGCTGGGAATTAGGGAGAAGTAAATAGAATATAAGTTCCTAGAGGTTGGGGCTCTTATCTTATTTATTGCTATTCTCTCAGTGCCTTCCCAATACAAGTTAAGTGCTTTTGCCAATACCTTATGAGTGAATAAGAGTTGTAAATCTTATCCCAGGGCCGAGCCTCTAGGTCCCCAGGAAGCCAGACTTATGAAGATGATTGTCTCACAGGAGTTTCACTGGAAGATTCCTGTTTTGTGCTTCTCTGGTGGGGGAAGTGAGGTGGCATAAGGCCTAGCCAGCTGGACATCAGTGAGCCAGCCTTATGACCAGGCTGCCCAAAGTAGAAGATGACCAGATAAGTGGACCAAGCCCAAGAAAACTGATACTGCTAGGGACTGCCACCAGAGGGCAGCCTGGGCACATGTCAGGGGATGAGAAATTCAGCCCAAACAGACTGCTGTTTTGTTTTTTCTCCTTCTGAGGTCCAAGGCCTGGGAGATAGGGAAAAGCAGGAGAGTTTGGTGGGTAAGGCAAGTCAGCAAATTTGCTAAATAATTTGTCCATTTCTGGAACCTGACGAACAAGGGACAGGGACAATGCTGGATTTCTTTTTCAGTCACAGCTTCTTTCTCAGAGCAGGATGACCAGCTTTGACTTGGACATAGATTTTGTCTTTATCAAAGCCACAGAGAAGCTCCAGTATGAAGACTAAACTCCAACCTTGATCTTAGATTGAACCCTCGCCTGGTCCATTCCAGTTCCTGACTTTGCTCATACACTGAACTTGACCCTAGACCTTTACTGTATGTCAGACCCTGATCTGGACTCTGAGCCTTGACTAGGCACATGTTAGCTCTCTCTACACTGTAGTTATAGCCTAAGTTTAGTCCCTGGGAGCAGATACCCCAACCCTGTCCACTACTGAGTCCTAACTCTGACTGGCCACAGAACCCTGAACTCTGTGGACAAAGATTGATCATAGTCACAATACAAGCCTTGATCTCTAAGACTTGCTCTGCCAACACCCCAATGACATAAGGACCAGATGATGCTCTTGTCTGGTCAAGCTTTAGGCCCAGAAGAAAGTAACTCCCAGAACCACCTTTGTTGGGGCAAGAAAAAATTCTGGTTTCTAGTATTCAGGAACTCCTGGGCTAGTGTAGACCCCTGCACGGCCAGGCAGAGCACGGTCAGTTCTCTGCTGTTCAGGACATGTGAAGGGAAGGCACCCGGGCTACTCAGGGCATTCCAACCCCAGGGCAGGAGCCTTTCTGCCCGTGAACTGGGGAGCAGTCAGCAAGCCTCTTGACCATCTTCGTCTCTGCCTTAGAACCTTGGACAAATTCCTGTCTCACTGGGTGGTGCTCCATCCCCTCATTGTCTTTCAGGAAAATATAAGGTGAAGGCGACTCTCCATGTGAAGAGACCAAGAGCTCAGGTCCCCAGCTTGTGCCCTATCAGAAGGAAAAGCCCCATCACTTTGGAAGTTCACTTTGGCTGGTCCCCCCAAACAGGCATGAAAAAAATGAGTCAAGCCTAAAATAACCTGGGGTTGTGACACAGGAGTGAAGGTAGCTGGCAAGTACCTACGGCCTCTGGAAGCCTCTCCAGAGAGGGTCACAAAGAACAACGTGGCCACTCCCCAGGGCACACTGGCCAATTCAACTTCTGACCTCCCCTGGGATGGACCTGGCTATTCTCCCCTGTGGAGCCTCACTGGCCTCTGCCAGCTCAACAGCCTGGCACCTACCTGGGGGTGGGGGGCAGGCAGGAGATGGGATGGAGGAGGGAGCAGCTCAAGTCAAAAAAACGCTGACGCTGAAGACAATGAGCTCTCCAAGGCTGAGGCAACTCATTTGGTCCCGGCCACGCTTTATTAAATTCTCATAAACCTGTCAGGGGGGACAGGGCTCGCTTCAGTTTACCTCATTAGCCCGACACAATGACAGTGGGGGGGGGCAGGAGGAGGGGGGTGAGGAGAGGCCGGTGTGCTCAGCACTGAGAACCAAGCCAGGCGGGAAGATAATTGAATTAAGTGGCTTTTGTTAATGGTTTTTAAGACTTCGAAGTGTAAATAACATTTAGGGGCTTTCTTTTAATTGGGCTGGGGTTTTAGAGATCCAGGGAGCTTAGAGGAGGCCCAGCCTGGTCCCTGCCCTTCTCCCCCTCCCTGGAGGAGCACAGGAGGGGAGAGCCTTCCACTGCAGCCCAGGATGTTTTGAAGTTAGCCTGGGAGGATGACCCAGTCTCCCCAAGGGCAGAGCAGAGCACCTGGAGCCAAAAAGCATGAGAGGACTCTCCGATGGATCTTTGCACAGACATAAACAGGGGAGGTTGTAAGCAGAAGAACACGTAGCTGCAGCAGGCTGACTGTGACAACCTACTCAATCCTGAAATTCCACTTTGAGACAAGATGGCCACAAAGTCTCTGGGACATTACTGAAAGCATGGCTTGTTAGCAGTCCAGGGACTTGGCCTCTGGAAGTCAATGTTCATTCTCCATCAGGACCCAGCAGAAGTAGGAGGTTATGGTCAGTGGCCTGGGAGAAGTGCACACCCCATCAAGACACTTGGGAGGCTGCGCACTGTGGTGGCCAGCAAGTGAGAGGATGAGACTGGACCTCAGGTTTTCTGAAGGAGCCTGGACTTGGCCTGAGCTGAAAGAGGTGGTGGAAGCTGCCAGGTCACTTCTTCCAAGCCCAGGAGTCAGGGAAGACTAGGAAAGCCCAGGGAAGCTGAGTGCCAGGGAACAAGCACAGGGACAGTGCTGGATTTCTTTTTCAGTCACAGCTTCTTTTTCACAGCAGGATGACCAGCTCTGGAAGTTGGCTGGGTTGAAGGCAAAGGGCTCTGACCTAGGACCCAAGGGGTTGGAAGTAAGATGGGGCGGGGCTGGCCCAGAGCCAGCCTATAAAGGGTTAAGGCACTAATCGCCCTGCATTGGACAAAGGGAAGTGGGTTTTCTGATCCAGAAAGGATCAGTCCCTGGGATGCCCCATCAGGTCCTTCAGCGTGAAATTACACCCCGGCAGGGGTGCTCCCCTCCCCCTACACAGTCTGCTAGACTAGGCCTGGCATGGGATTAGGGCCTGGAGTCATCAGTTTAATAGATCTGGCCTCCCTTCCCCATCCCTTCTCCCTCAGAAGCCTTCAGTGGAGCCTCCAGGCCTGGTTCAGCCTCTTGCTTCACTGTCCGTCCACCTGACTGTCGATCTGTCCAGCTCTCTCTAGCTACTCACTCCCTCTGTCTCCTTGGCAGGGCTCTAACCCAGCCATGCACTGAGCCTTGTCTTTGTGCTGTTTCAGTTTCTTCATAACTTTCTCAGCACCTTTAAAATAGACAGATGATAGATAGATAGATAGATAGATAGATGATAGATAGATAGATAGATAGATAGATGATAGGTAGATAGATAGATAGATAGATAGATAGATAGGTTTCATTCATTGCTTGTTTACTTGTTATCTCTCCCCACCTCCTGCAGGTTAGGAGCAGGGACTTGGTCCCATTCAGTACTGCCTTGGTTACATCTGCCACACAGATGATGCTCAGTCAATATTAGTTGACTGAGCCCCTCCCACCCTCCTGGCAAAGACCACACTATATTCCCTGAACTCTGAACATCCCCAGTGCTAAGGACTGAAAGGAGGGCATGGAAGTCTGTGCTGGGCCAGGACTGTATCCTCTAAAAGAGACTGGGCCTGTGGTCTCACTTGTGCCTCAGGCCGGCCTCATCTCTTAAGAATGCCACAAGTGAGTAGGTCAGAAAAGGGCGAGACCCTGCACACACAGAATGGCATGCTCATCCTTAGGTACCATCCCAGGAGACCTCTGACTCCACTTCCTCAGGGGCTGACCGGCTTTTGCCATGCAAGTGCCTCGACGTCTCATCTGTACCCACATTTGGGAATATGCAGAGTCAGAAGAGGTCCTGGGTAAAAACAGTGGGGGAGCAGCTGGGGGAAGAGAAATCTCAGCAAGACCCAGAAATCAAGACTCTCCAAGGCA